GCCTAACCCAGTAATGATGATATAGTGAGGAGCAGGAGACAGATGGAGGTTGACCAGAGCTGCCAATCACAAGGGTTCTTTGTAAATCAGAGTGTCCAGTTCCCCAAGCTTAAATGGCATGCTACAAATATCATCCTATATATAGGAAGTAGAATATGTGTTCAGTCGAACATTCCTTCTACATAAGAGGGTCATTCAACCCTTACATTGTAAAAATACATGCATTTTAATGCTCATTTAACTTATGTTGCTGTGTAATATGCAAGAAGGTGCATGAAAACAGTTAAAACGTATTAAAAGTGCACATCAGTGCATGTGTTTTACTATGCAAAAGATGGATGGTGCTTGAATGTAACAGAGGTCCGAATTTAAACATGCCACAAAAATGTTCAGACCAAAGGAAAAACAGTAAATGATTATTTATTTTGCATATAAATGACCGGTACTAAACAGAACACTACATAAAGCCAACTAACATTTCACATCAAAAGGGTGTCTACAAAGAGCTGATGACAGTAGGCCTCCAAGTGATGTTCTGATCATGAACGCCTTCCCTTAGTAAAAACAGCAGGTTGCATTATTCATTGTTAGTCAAATTAGAAAAGTCTCTTTGGCAAGGTGTGCTAATTAACACGTGCAAACAATACAGAGAATCAATGCACTGATGAGAAGCAAAGTTAATTACTTGATATGAGAAAAAAAGTCTACAAACATCATGCAGGGTTTCCATCAAATGACACAGCTGATGAAGTAGGTCTGGACTGGGTTTGAAATGTGGTGTTCCTCCTAATCCACAAGCATTATAATGACCAAAATGTCTCTATTATGAAAGCCCTGCAACAATTCTTGCACATTAATACCAGAATCCAAGATAGATTACTATTAACAGCATTCATATCACCCATAATCTTCTACATTTTTGGGGCTTAGGCCCCTTTCACATGGGGCGGACTTCATTTTTTAAATCAGCAAGGGATCTGTCCACTGATCCTCTGCTGATCAGAGCAGAGCGAGCAGATGACAGGTCCATGTCCACTCAATTTATGCAGCGCTAACATGGACAGAGGCCCACTCCACTCAATGCACGACCAGGTTTAAATGGACTCCGCTGTCTGTTTATATCCTACTGCCCTCGAATCTGACCTGCCTAGAAGGAGGATGATGGATCCCCTTCCATCTCTTTTTTTAGCAGACCGGATTGGAGATAGGTGGGTGTAAACAAACACAAGTTTGTTTACACCTGCTGTTCCAGAAGGGCAAATGGACTATCTGATCAAGTCCTTCTGAAAAACTGACAGGTGTACCTGACTGGAATGGCCGTGTGAAAGGGGCCTTACAAAGCACTTGTTCTACTTTGCATTCATAGGTATATCTAGGCAAATCAGGACACACTTCAATGAATAAAGGAGTTCATTTAGTACCCCAATGCTAATTATTTAGTAGGGCCTTGAACATGGTTGGATATGTGGCACAATTAGACCAGAGTGAAAATTCAATTTCCCAATAACAGTACCCTTGTGGGTATCTTTTGCCACAGAATGTATCATTGATGGTATTTAACAGGGTCTCAAACACACACTTTAGACAACTGTGTGCTTGTTGCAGCAGTTCTGTGAAGGTGATTTTCTATTTCAGCATGACTTTGCCCTCGTGCACAAAGTCAGGACTATATAGATGTTCTTTGACAACCTTTGGTGTGGAGGAACTCAAGTGGTCTGCACACAGCCCTGACCTCATGCCTATTAACATCTTTGGGACTAATTGGTCAATTGTGTACAGCATCAGTACCTGACCTCACAAATTCTCACACTTCACAATCTTCGTTATATGTACAAAGAGGTTTTGGGTAAATCCATTTTAATGTCCACGGTTTTGGAATTGGTTGTCCTGCAAGTTCATATAGGTGTGATGGTTAGGTGTTAAACATTTGACCAACTAGTGTAGCTGCTATGGTTTGGCAATGATAAGAGTGTTGCCCTGGCTCTGTTTATTTTAAATAAATTATTATTTTTTTGAGTGCTTTTTCCCCCCTTGGGTCTCAAAGGGATTAAGAGGTGAGGCAGCCATCTACCAGCAAGTTTTCAGAGTAAGGAAACTGGAGTACCAGGAGAAAATACATGCATACACAGGGAAAACATGCAAACTTCATGCAGACAATGCCCTGGTCAGGAGTTGAACTAAGGACCCCAGGATGCTTCAAGGTTCAGGTAGTTGTTCTACAGAGTTTTTATTATCTTTACAACTGTAGAAATTTGCTATAGTACCTTTTTAAAAAAGTTGTGAACATAAAATGTTATAGAAGCTTTCTAACACAGTTATAACTATGCATCCATCATAGCTGATTTAGCTTAGTTTCAGAAAAGGTATTTTTTTACAAGGTTAAAAAATTGTGTCATGTGACCATGCATCTCTTCTTCCTGATGGTGGGAGATGGGGTTACAGGACACTGTGCAGACCGTGTGCCTGTATTCCATAAGGCCTAATGCAGGCTGTGCTTGAGCAGGTGGTGTGTTTCAAGAGGCAGGCTGTGATTGGTCAGGGGGTGTGGTGACTGAACAAACTACCCAAGTGAGGCATTCTGTATGTCTGCACAGTGTCCTGTACCTCTGAATGGCCAGCCAAAAGATGAAAACTGACTACGCTAACACATGACAGCTTCTATACATTATGTGGTCAGTTTAAAACAAGGAGAACGCTGACTGTCAGGATCAACCAGGTACTACAGATGGAGGAAGTACATGAAATGATGAGACTATGATTTATAAAATACCCATATGTGAAAACAGACATAGAAGAAACAATATTTAGGGTAACATACACTTAGAGGCTGCATTCACACTTGAGCGATTTGTAGCTTGAAGCTCGAAGCTCCAAAAACGCTCAAGCGTAAAAAGTCAATTGTTCTCTATAGTGCCTGTTCGGACGATCAGGTGTGAATAAGCACCATATAAAACAATAGATTATTTAAGTTTGAGAGTTTATGGAGCTTCAAGCTACAAATCGCTGAAGTGTGAATGCAGCCTAATTGTTCATTGGCATATGACAGCAGCGAGATTATGTGAGCAAGATTTAAGCATACAGGTGGAACAGATATGTACATGTACTGCTGCACCTAATTTTAAGAAATTTACAGCAGCCAGCCAAACTAAACCAGCTGACTGGATCCAGCTAATTCATGCAATTATAAATGTATATCCCTGACTGTCCCTTACAGATACACCAAAATTAAAATTAGGCTTTGCAAACCAAACCAACTTACCTGAAGTTTACCTTTTTCACCGACGCATTGATGTACTGCAACAGTTCACCACACTCCTTTGTCTAATCTGGTGATTTGGGATCTCTTATAGTTTACCTGTTTTTATGCAGTAGGGGTATTCCTAAACACCAACACATCCATTGTTGTTTCTCTCAGGCCCCATTCACATCTGCCATTCTGGGATCTCAAGTAAAATCGCTGTAAATTGGCCCACGATCCCACATCACACTGCAATCGTGGCAAACCCTACCACGTGTGTTCTGGTGCCATTAATTTCCAAGAACATCAGATGGTAATGGGTTCTCATACAGGAAGCCCTATTTATTAAAGTATCAGCACTAAGAAGTCTCTCAGACACCAGTCAAAGAAAGAAAGAAGGAGAGGAGTGCCAAAGCTCAGATAAAGGACCCACCTACTATACATGTGAAAAACTCTCTGGAATCTAGTGTAGTGAATTACACAGAACTAATGCGAAGGTAAATTAAATATACTATTTGACATTAGCACAATTGCAATGTTTCTAATTAGCTTTAGAATTTTACTTATCAATATCATTATTGTCTGGGAATTTTTGGAGTCTAGTTCACACTTGTGCAGTGCTGCACTCCGCATGTCATTTGCACAGGAATTGCACCGCATTCCTGTGCAAATCACATGTGATGTCTGTGCGGTGCGATTTGAGCCATAGATTTTGTATGGTTCAAATTGCATCACATCCACACCAATATGGTGCACGACCTTTTTTCCCTGCACCGGATTCGCAGTGAACGGGTGTTCATACCCATGTGATCTGATTTCTGGCAATCGCAGTGCATTTTCCGGTCTGTTTTGGGGTGTCATTAATTTAACAATGACACACGCGGTGCAGAAAACACACAGGATTCGCTGCGTTTCCCCCATCACATTAGTGAACCAGGTCTTAAGAAATACACAGGCTTCTAGTGCAGACACCCTAAAAATATCAGTAACATGGCTATACTGGATTGAAAAAAACAGGTATGCAGCCAGTGAAATCAGGCTGAAGTCAGAACTTCTGATATGCATACATTCTACTTGGTCAGTTTCTCAGTGTACTAAAGCCAACAGATCAACATGACTGTCAGATGCTGTAGCTAATATTTTGAAACATGGTTGTCAAAACTGGCAGCCTCCATCTCTCTTTTACTATAGATTTTCTTTTTTATGCGAATAGTGGGAGACCGAATATCAAGGCAGAAATTCTTTGTGTAGCTTAAGGCAAACGTTTTTTTTTTTTTTTTGGACAGAGTGAAGATGTCAGTTTATATTGCTGTATGTGTCTCCATCTCTATTTGTCCTGTTTACCGTTATCACCAAAAGTGAAAGTAAAGGAAAATACCAAATTTTGTGTTGACATCAGAATAATAGGAGGGGGAATCCTTCAATGGGAACACTAGTTCTGGTGACACCCAGGATTTCCTCACTTTGGAGGGGTTTCCTTTCACTTCCTGTTTTGGCTATGGGACAGGAAGTAAAAGGAAATCTCCCCAATGGGATACAGATGACAAAAAGAGAAAAAAAACTTTACAAATCGCCCATTATTCTGTCCAAAAAAAAAAAAAAAAAAAAAGTTTTGCCTTTAGTATTACTTTACCCAAACAACCACAAAAACTGGATGAGAAAAATAAAATAAAGAAAAAACAGTGAACCATACATTTTGACAATTCTACATTACACAGGCTATACTTTTTATGAAAATAAAGGAGTTATTTATTTTACTTACAGTTACATTTCTTCTGTACAAATCGAATCTTACATGCCGTTCGGTATGTAGACAGACGAATGCGATCCAAATCTTGAGCCCCTTGAAAAACATAAAACATTAAATGTCATTTTTCGTATCACTGTACATTCTCAGAAAAACTCATCTCAAGTGTTTAGACATCATGCTACTCCAAGCACACTTGAACAGGAATGCCTTTTTGCATACGTTCTGCTTTTTGTGTCATGTAATATATTTAGTGAACGCAACTGCTAGAAAGCACTTTTAGGGACAATAAGGGATTTTATATGTTCACATGACTGCTATGGGGCCTTGGGTGGGAAGATGACCCCATTAGGGAAGCTGAGGCACAATGAAAAGTCTCCAGGAGGAATTATCAGGATCATTGTCCCTAGTCACAGATCCCTTATGTGCGGTAGACAGAATCTATTTACTGGTCTTATCAGTGTAGCTCTGGGAACTTTTGTCACAGCCCAAAAGACAGAAAATGTGTGCTAAATATAGTCAAAAATCCCAAAATGATAAAACACACTGATAAAACTGAAGTTTGAAGTTCTGCAAAAAAACAAAAAAAAAGTTGTAGCAGGTATATAGAGTAATTGTGTACAGGAGCATTAAAGTGTATTTCTACTTTTGCAGCCAGATTGGGATAATAATTCTTTATATCTGTTACATGCTCTCATTCATATAGCATAATTTAAAGCATGTCAATATTGCAGTTTACTTCCCTCTAAGCTTCCCATAAGCTCACTCAATTATTTATTCTTCATGTTTTTTGGCTATGCAGAGAGGGCTGGGCAGTTATTGTTTATCATAATTAAACCTGTCCGTACTATGCTGGCAGAGCTCATTATTGGTTGTAGATTAGTACACTGTCTGTCCTGCTAAAGGGTAAAGAAGCTAGACTTCTGAATTGTATGATAATGAGGGGAAATGTGTCAGTGGAGACAGATTGAGTTTCTTCTCATTTCCATTAGTTCTGCCCAAGGCCTGCTCCAAACAAGCACATAGAAAGCTGCTAAGAAACCTTTAAAAAATATATTTTTAGGTATGCTGTGTGAATGGGAATACAGAGAGAGTGGGAGAGACACATAATATACAGAGGAGTTCCATCATGTCATCGCACTGCAAATGTTAGTGCAGGCAATGGATTCATGTGTCAGTTGCAAATACGTACATGAATTTGGGGCACACGCCAAATGCAGAGGCACACTGTCTTTAGTTCAGCTGAACTCTCACTTGGCCACTTTAGCTGTCACACAGAAAGCTCAACAGCCAAATATTTTTTAAACTGAGCAGGTGGAGCCTGATAGGGATTCAGAGCCCTAGCTCCCTTTCAGTTTCGCTTGCTTGTGACTGACAGTAGGCAGATCCATAGCCAACAGACAGCCTGCAATTAGCTATAGAATTTTCCCACTGCCTTCTGTCAATCACAAGCAGACAGTGGACTTGATGGGGAATTATGTCTGAGCTTCCACATCAGCCTTTGCCTACTGTCTGTGTCACTTGTTACTAGGAGCATATCTGCTGTTAAAATGGCTGTAAACCCTTACATATTTCCAGTAAAGTGAAAGGCCTCAGGTGATACACAGAAATGAAACACATCCTCCGACATATGTTGTACTTGTTTATCTGCAGCCCTCTCCTCTCTACAGCCAAAGTCCAGAATGTTTACAGCTTGTCTGAGCTTTCAGAAAGCAGGGGGTGGGGAGCTAAAGTTACACTCTGCAGAGCTTACTGAGAGCTGATCCTCCACAAAGCACACAGGAACAGAGCTGAAGCTGTCAATCACTAGCTGTGTGCTGCAGCCCCCTCCCCTGTCACCTATTTACCTCTTGGTGTCAGAACTGTCCCATGCAGAGGAACAAGGCAGCAGACAGAACTGACACTTCGTGCTCTGGATTGAGAGAAGTACACACTATAGAAGGATATGTTTTGTTCAGATTTCATTTCAGAGGTTTACAACCACAGCTGACAGTGTCTGTGGGTAATTATTTTTAAATATGGTACAAACATAGCACCACTTTGTAAAACCAAGAATTAACTGAATCTGCTGCATATTAAGAACCAAAACTGGCAGGAGGGCAGGACCTGGCACAGGACCTTTTAAAAGGCTATACCTCCAGAAAAGTGGAGACAATGCTTTATTGAAATCCCCTGATAGGGTTTTCTGAATATTAACTGCAAATTGGAAATACAAGATGAAAAATATAATATATTGCAGCTTACCAGTGCTAAGATGTGGTGGCTGCATTCGCTTTCTGCTTTTTTTCAGTCCTTTTTCCCTTTATTTTGGTCTGGTCAGCCTGCTGTAACAGACTATTTGACCAAGGGCAACAACGCTCACCCACCATCATGTGTGTATGGAGTAACAGTGTTGGCACCTTAGGACAGAACTTCTGAGCACCTCCCCCTCTCCTGTTCTTCAAACATGGAGCCAAGGGGTACTCTGTAGTCCTCAGTGATAGCTAGAAACAGTGCTGTTAACATTCAGCAGAGCCAGACAGCATAGAAACATATCAATTCACAAGATTTTTCATAGGATAAACAGGTAATTATTTTTGCACTTACCAAACCGATATAACAAAATGCAACAATGTCATACTTGACAAACCAAAAAGCATCAAATAAGAGACATTCATTACTTGGAATTGCATATACTAAGGTTTGTTACTACTGTTCTAACCTGGCAACCCTAGCCACTGGCCCACAAGTTCTTTATGGTAAACCCAGCCCTGATCATATGGTTTCTTTAAACGCATGCAAACATTGCAGATTACTTTATTAAAAGCTGCATTGTGATGCACAATGGCAAGAACTCAGACTTTTTTTAAGGATTATACACAATTTGATATATATATATATATATATATATATATATATATATATATATATATATGCACACACTCACAAGAAAAAGTATGTGGAATTAACGTATTTTCTGCTCTATTTTGCCATAAAATTTGATCTGCTCCTTATTTAAGTCACAACAATAGACAAACACTTAAGTGGAGGTCCATTCAGAATTAAAAAAAAAAAAATAAAAGTCAGCAGCTACAAAAACTGTAGTTGCTGACTTTTAAAAAAATGGACACTCACCTGTCCCACGATCCTGCGTTGTCCTCACACCAGCTGGGTTGACCGACCATCCTGTCTCCTTGGCGCTGGCATCTTCAGTGTGGGCACCGGCTGTGACATACTTGCCCACTGCGCATATGCGAGTAGCGTTGCGCTTTTTGAATGGTCCTGTAGTCTTCTGGGATGTGTCTCAGTAGACTACGGGGGGGGGGGGGGGTTCAAGTTCCGCTTCCAGTTGTCTAGGCAATGGAGTGGGAGTGGGTACCTGTCAAATTTGGGTACCGCCTCCCCGCCCCCAAAGGTGCCAATCCTTAAAGGGGAGTGGGGGACAAGGTCTTAACGTAGCACTTCCCCTTTTGGGTGGAGCTTTGCTTTAAGTTGACAACATACACACAGTTCTAATTTCTCATGTCTTTATTGAACACACCCATTAACATTCACAGTGCTGCAGGGAAAAGTAAGTGTACCCTTGGAGTTAATAGCTGGCTGAACCTATTTTGGCACACAATGACTTCAAGCAAGCACTTTTGGTAGCTCTGAATCAGACCTGCAAAACTTTCAGGACGAATTTTTGACCACTGCTCTTTACAAAACTGTTTCAGCTTAGACACACTTGTAGGATGTAGGAGGTCATTCCACAGCATCTCTATGGGGGTTAAGGTCTGGGCTCTGACTGGGCCACTCCAGAAGGTGCATTTTCTTTTTTTGAAGCCAGTCTGTGGTGGATTTACTTCGATGTTTAGGGTTAATGTCCTGCTGCATCAACCAACTTCTACTAAGCTTCAGCTGGCGGACCGCAACCTTGACATTATCCTGTAGGATATTTTGGTAACCTTGGGAATACATTTTCCCCTCAATGATGGTAAGCGGTCCAGGCCCTGAGGCAGTGAAGCAAGCCCAAATCATGATGTTCCCTCCACTATACTTCACCATTGGGATGTTTTGATGTTGGTAAGCTGTGCCTTTTTTTCACCATACATAGTGCTGAGTATTCTTCCAGGACAGGTCAACTTTTGTTTCATCAGTCCAGAAAACATTTTCCCAGTGGCGCTGCAGTTTGCCAAAGTGCCATTTGGCAAACTTTAGGTGTAGAGAGATTTCTTTGGAAAGCAGAGGCTTCTTCCATGGAGTTCTGCCATGAAAACCCTGCCTGTTGAAAGACTTACATATTGTAGATTCATGAACAGGGATTTGCCAGTTCCAGTGATGTCTTCAAGCCTTTAGCTGTTATTTGTGGGTTCTTCTTTACCACATTGAGGATTCTGCGTAATGCCTTGTAAGTCATCCTGGCTGGGTACCCACTTCTAGTAAGTATGGTCACAGTATTAAACTGTCTCCATTTATAGACAATTTGTCTGTCAGTTGGTGGATGCCTAAACACTTTGAGATTATTTTGTATCCATTTCCAGCCTTCTGCAGATCACCTACTCTTGATTGTATGTTTTCAGAGAGCTTCTTTTTGCAAGACATGATTCACATCAGCCGATGGTTCTTATGAACAGCAGTCTTAGGCAGGCCAAAGATTAGGCGATTTTGGTTTCAGGAAAACAGTCAGTATTGATCAGGGAATCTCTCCTGTGGAGCTATTGTGTTCTCCTGGCAGGGAGTAGATCGCGGGAAGCTATAGCCGTTGGCAAATCACATACTACAAGTCCAACACACTAGTTGTACCCAAGTCGATTGATCTTTTACCAATCAAAGTAGCTCTAAACTACACCTTCAAACTAATTACTTACTTTTTCTGCCAGCACTGTGATTGTTTAATGGGTGTGTTCAATAAAGAAATGAGAATCTAGAATTGTTTGTGTGTTATCAGTTTAAAGAAGAAATCTGGGCAAATTTGGACGTGGGGGAGTATGGTTTTCCAGAGGATCGGAGGAATGGGTAAGTATAGCTTTACCCTAATCCCCTAGGCAAAACAAGCACTTAACCCATGCTGTGCGGGCACAGCCCCACTGCATGGGAAAATAACATTTTTAACCGGAGTTCTGCTTTAAATACAT